GCCCTGCTCGCCCCGCGCCGCAGCTGCCACCTGGCCCCGCGCGCTGGAGCCCGGCCAGGGCAGCTCCACAGCTGAGGAGCGTCAGGTTGGGGCACTTTTACTTTTCATGTGACAGCGGAGATAACCGGGGCCGCCTGTATCTGCGGCAGCCACTTGGCTGCCTCCCACGGCTGCACCGGGCCGCGGCGCGGGCACGGATTAAAGAGACCGGAGCGACGCGGGCGGCGAAAAGGGGAAAGTTTGCGGTTCTGTTTCAGCCCTCGCTTCGCAAACCTCCTGAATCTTTCCCAGCTAGGTCAACAGCAGGGGCTCAGCACTGCCCACTGTCTCTCCAGGCCAGCCAATCTCTGCATCTAGGAGCAAACTGAGACTTTCAGTAAATTTATATGAAAAAAAAAGCGCTATTAAAGTAATTTTCCATTTCCCATCGCAGAATTTGCAGAGTTGCTTTTAAACAGCTGAATCCTAGAACGACAAACAACAAAATAAAGTTCCCACCACTTCTCATTTTAAGAGTCATAAAACTTTCTTCCTTCCTCTGCTCACTTCACCCTGGGGGAACTGACCCTTTAGCACCAGGAGAAAGTTTAGCAGTTTAAGGACATGCTGTCCAGACCCTGACACTGCTGGAATATGTCCATGGAAACGTCTGTCTTAAAGGGATGAAACAGGAACGAGTCCATGTTCAAGCAGGATCAGCTCTAAACCAGACAACAACGCCGGAATTCTACCTCATTATCCAAGTTTCTCTTCTCCCTGCCCTTTACAACACACATCTTAGGCAGGTGACACTGCTAACATGGGGCAGCAGGACAAGCCAAATGCCCAAGCAGTTTCTCCCGGGCCTGGCCAACCACAGCAGGACCCTGCGATGCAGAAATTTCCAATTTCATGTTCTTTAGAAGCGTGTAAATTTTATTTACAGCACAAATTTTAATTTACAAAACTATGCTTGCATATGCAGTTTATGTGCTGGTTGGTGGTGGGTCATCTCTGGAGGTTCAGCGAAGAAATCTGATCCCCAAACGACTACCACGACTGAGACAAGAATCAGTAACGCAACCACCTGCAGGTGACACGTAGGGGGGAAGAAAAGAACCACCTGAGCATTAAGGGCATACAAAGAGGAAGTTGAACCGTGAGTTTATAGGTAGATTAAAAGATAGTGATAAACACAACCCTCAGCTGCTCCTATAAAAAAGGATAGTTAACAGCTCTACAGCAGCATCAACCTCATCGCTCAGTAGCTTCTGGCATCTTTTTCCACCTGAAGTCTCTGCAGGGAGACCTCTTCTGCTCTACCTCGTCACCCAGGCAGTGTTTTACAGTTGTCATCTCTTTGCTTTTAGAAGATTTGCAACAGAAAGGAAATTCACACCCAGATCAGGATGGGATTTCAGAGCTCTGTTTGTTTCAGTGCAGACCGGTGCCGAAACGCAAAGCCCTCAGAGCCCTGAAATCCACTGCACCTTCCGGAGAGGGCCAGAAGCTGTGGTTAAACCACAGGGTCCCCATGACTCTTGCTCAAACCATATGCGCCCAGCTCAAGCCACCCAAAAAAGCACCTGCTGTTCCCAGAGCCAAACCCTCGAAGAAAACCCACAAGAATCTTTGCTTCACAGCTCGTCCTGCACAGAAGCCAACAACCCCCTGCCCAAGGACGTCACCAACGCAGAAGGACCATTTGGGTGGTGGCCTCCAAGGGCAATGAGAGGATCCTACCAGCAGGTCTCCAGGACGGGCAGCTGGATTCCCACCGGACACAGGCACGGCTGAACCCTCCAGAATTGGCTCAAGAGCAGAAGGAAAGAAATTCTAGGCCTTGTAATCACTCCCCTGGTTGCAAGTTTTGGAAAGAGCTGCCCAAAGGACGGAGCATCTGCAGATACCATTGCAGAGCATCAGTGAGGGACACTACTAGTTCAAACTTCCATTTTCTTTCAGACACAGATGCCGTGTGAAGAAGAAACTCCCTCAAAAGCAGCTCAAGGCCTAAAGCTGAAGCCAAACACCCACTTAATGGAGGAAATGAGCTGAACTTTTCACCTTTATCTTAATTCTTTCCAAGTTTGTTTTTCAGATGATAAAACAATCTGAAGAATTTCAACATCCTTCAAGTCTTTGGTTGAAGTCTCGTGTGATCACTTCAATGGGCCCATCCAGCAAAGCAGTGTGTTATCCCCCAGGACACGCAGGGAGCGCTTCTGGACTGGCTTTTATACACTCCAAGTTAAGGAAGAGCTAGAACAAAACAGATGGGCTGGCAAGAGCTCATGCATGGCTTAGAAACAAGCAAAAACCTGTTTGAACTTTAGATATTCAGGGCTCACTTTGCTCTGTTCTGGGAAAATACAGATGACTAAGGAGCTGCTAAGGATCATCCATACCAGAAGAGCAAAACACCCAAGCAATGAAGACAGAGCTGTGGTTTTTGTTTCTGTTAAACCTACTTAAATCAGCTGCTGATGAGCAGCTAGGAACTGAGATCACTGCAAAAGATTCAGCCTGCAAACCCAAAAAGGTGAGAACCTCTGCTTGCCAAACCTTTGGAAGGCCAAAGCAAAGCAAAACAAAAACCAGACAGAATTGGACATTTGGGATGTTTTTAGGGTTATAAACAAGCTGAAAAACAAGAGAAAAACTGAAGGCTTTTTGTCCTTTAGGCACGTATATCCCCATAAATCACATCAACCTTTTACAGCAAGCCCTTCTCCCACACTCTAAGTTGTCTTTATGACTAATTTCGACTAAGCCACCTGCCTAGAAGACCCAAAATGCAGCTGCTGAAACAGTTTTTCAGAGGAGAAAACACAGCAGGAAAATCCTAGCGTCTGATACACCTTACCAGGAGGTTTCCTGTCATATTTTCCAATCTGGAGCACAATGGCAAAGCTAAGGGCGGTAGCTTGCTGGTACAGCTAACCTAAACAGAGTTTGAGCACAGCAGTGCTCCGCACGGAGCAGTTGCACAAAAAACCCCTCAGGCTCCAGCGTGCCAGGAACTGCACAAACTCCGTAATTCCTGTTCCAACGCACAGGCTGAAAGCAGGGCACAAAACCCATGAGAAACTGAGGCCCGGGGAGGAGAAGCAGCTTGCCCAGAGCCATGCAGCAGGTTTGGGGCAGGCGTGGAAACAATTATCCTCCGTTATTTGCAGAGGACGGACTGACCATAGCATCATCTTGGATATTTTCCTCGCTTCCTGTACAGTCACCTCTGAAATACCAAACACTTGG